TAGGAGCAGAAAGGCTGACGTTTCGGGCCTAGACCCTTCATCAGAAACGTCAGCCTTTCTGCTCCTATGATGCTGCTTGGCCTGCTGTGTTCATCCAGCTCTGCACCTTGTTGTCCTGGAATGGGTGAGTTATCTTATGTGTTAAAGATTGGACACGCTGAGCTTGTATCTGCTCGAGTTCAGAAGAGGTGACCTGATTGAAACATGTAAAATCCTGAGGGGTCTTGACAAGGGTGCATGCGGAAACGATGCTTCCAATTCTAGGGGAAGCTGGAGCAAAGGGTTGCCTACTTAAAACAGAGATGAGCTGAATTATTTTCTCTCAGAGGATCGTCAGTCTTTGGAACCCTCTCCCTGAAAAGTTGGTGGAAGCAGAGTCCTTAAATATTTTTAAGATAGAAGCAGATAGATTCTCGTTAAGCAAGTGGTTGAAATAACATCAGGGCCAGGAGGGATTGTGGATTTGAGATTACAATCAGATCAATCATGATTTGAAGTCCCATTTCCGCTCCTGATTCAGAAACTTGTATGTCTATCTGTTCAAATTCACAATAAAAGGCGACGGTCTACTTAACATTAAGCTATTTAAAAACTTAAAAATAACTACCAACTTTATTATTTTCCTCAAAATGACAAAGGAACATACCTGTTTCTTCTGATCTATTACTCAAGATAATATTGATTTTTAAACAATGGTTATTCACTTGGTGAAATGTGATATCACTTGCAGAGATATAGCTCTGTATTCCTGCTGGCTTCACAGATAAGTTTATGAGCATAGCCTTGGAAGCCGGCTGTAAGTCAACAATTGGAAGATCTTGGCCTTGGAACTTTGCAGCAACAAGAATACAAAGAATCATTGGACCTGCCCTCCCGACATTGGCCCAATTCCACATCTGGCAGGCCCTCCTGCCCCACCCACCCCACATCAAACAATGAGAGTCTTTGGAATTTGAGGAATGGCTTGATTCACTGGTCAGTGCCAAATACTTTAATTACCTGCAGGATGGATTCCATTCCCAGGTACTGTGTGAGCACTCAAGCCAGGCATATCAAGGATATGCAGAACTGTCAAAGTATCTCCTTACTCCTGTGTTATGAATATTAGCCAAGCTCTAACAGTAAATATTGCAGCCACCAATAACAGAGTTTAAGATAACAAGGTGTGGAGCTGGATGAACACAGCAGGGCAGGCAGCATCAGAGGAGCAGGAAAGCTGACATTTCGGGTCTGGATCCTTCTTCAGAAATGGGGGAGGGGAAGGGGGCTCTGAAATAAATAGAGAAAGGGGGAGGCGATGATAGAAGGTGGATAGTGGAGCAGATAGGTGAAGAGAAGACGGACAGGTCAAGGAGGCGGGGATGAAGCCAGTACAGGTGAGTGTAGGTAGGGAGTTGGGATGGGGGGTTGGTCAATGAGGAGGGATGGGCAGATAGGTGGGAGAGAAGACAGACAGGTCAAGGAAGCGGGGACAAGAGGGACTGGTCTTGGGATGAGGTTGGGGGTGGGGAGATTTTGAAGCTTGTAAAGTCCACATTGAGACCATTGGGCTGCAGGGTTCCCAGGCAGAATATATGAGGTGCTGTTCCTCCAGCCTTCAGGTGGCATTGTTGTGGCACTGGAGGAGGCCCAGGATGGACATGTCATCCAAGGAGTGGGAGGGGGTTTTGAAATGGTTCGCGACTGGGAAGTGTTGTTGTTTGTCACGCACCAAGAGTAGGTGCTCCACAAAGCGGTCTCCAAGCCTCCGCTTGATTTCCCTGATGTACAGGAGGCCACATTGGGAACAGCAGATACAATATACCACACTAGCGGATGTGCAGGTGAACATCTGTTTAATGTGGAAGGTCTTCTTGGGGCGTGGGATGGAGGTGAATGGGGAGGTGCAGGGGCAGGTGTAGCGCTTCCTGCAGTTGCAGGGAAAAGTACCGGGGGTGGTGGGGCTGGAGGGGAGTGTGGAGCGGATGAGGGAGTCACGGAGAGAGTGGTCCCTTCAGAAGGCAGATAAGGGTGGGGAGGGAAATATATCCTTGGTAGTGGGGTCAGACCGCAGGTGGTGGAAGTGGCGGAGAATGATGCGTTGAATCCAGAGGTTAATGGGGTGATACGTGAGGACAAGGGGAATTCTGTCTTTGCTGTTATTGCGGGGAGGGGTGTGAGGGCTGGGGTGCGGGAAACGCAAGAGATGTGGTCAAGGGCGTTTTCAATCACTGTGGAGGGGAAATTGCAGTCCTCGAAAAACGAGGACATCTGGGATGTCCGGGAGTGGAACACCTCATCTTGGGGACAGATGCGGAGGAGGCGAAGGAATTGGGAATACGGGATAGCATTCTTGCAGGAAGGTGAGTGAGAGGAGGTGTAGTCTAGGTAGCTGTGGGAGTCGGTCGGCTTGAAATAGATATCAGTTTCCAGGTAGTTACCAGAGATGGAGACAGGGGTGTCTGAGATGGTCCAGGTGAAATTAAGGTTGGGGTGGAAGGTGTTAGTAAAGTGGATGAACTGTTCGAGATCCTCATGGGAGCACGAGGCGACGCTGATGCAGTCATCGCTATAACGGAGGAAGAGGTGGGGGATAGGGCCAGTGTAGCTGCGGAAGAGGGACTGTTCCACGTAACCTACAAAGAGGCAGGCATAGCTTGGGCCCATGCAGGTACCCATGGCCACCCCTTTTGTCTGTAGGAAGTGGGAGGAGTTGAAGGAGAAGTTGTTAAGGATAAGGACAAGTTCAGTTAGGCAGATAAGGGTGTCAGTGGAGGGGGACTGATCGGGCCTGCAGGAGAGGAAGGAGCGGAGGGCTTTTCAGCCATCTGCATGGGGAATGCAAGTATATAGGGACTGGACATCCATGCTGATGATGAGGTGTTGAGGACCAGGGAATCAGAAGTTTTGGAGGAGGTGGAGGGCGTGGTGGTGTCACAGACGTAGGTGGGGAGTTCCTGGACCAGGGGGGAGAAAATGGAGTTGAGATAAGTGGAGATAAGTGGAGATAAGTTCGGTGGGGCAGGAGCAGGCAGAGACAATGGGTCGACCAGGGCAGTTGGGTTTACGTATTTTGGGAAGGAGATAGAAACGGTCGGTGCGGGGTTGGGGTCCAAGTATTATGATTGGAAACAAATGGATAATGAAGTGATAACAAAATGGCTTTGTATCATTGACCATCTGTCTCCATTAGTCTACAAACAGGGGTGTTAATAGATGATCATCAGATAACTCATGAGAACCAGACTTAGTTCTCCCTGGGCAGATAGCAGATGCCAGAAATTAATTATCAAAACTAAAACAAGTGCTTGAATTCTATTTTGGGTACATGTGTCACCTTTAGAAAATGTTTATCTTTTTGAACATTATCTACAGGGAACATGAGTTTTATCTGAAATCCTAGACACAAAAACTTATCCTTACCTCCTAGGGCATAAAGCAGTTCCAATGCCTGGACCATTGACTGGGCCGGTGGAGGCTGTGAACAATACAAAAGATATGACATACAGGAGTTTGACTTGTATCATGGCTATCACAACCCCAAAGTTCATACAGCATTCCTACACTCAAATTCTATTTTGCAAGCTAGTACAAACTTCTTACATTTGCAAGACAATGAAGGAGTTTTTTGTGTGTTGCATCTTCTTCCAATAACAATGTCCCACTGAACCACAATATGTTTCACATTTCTCATTGTAACACCTCCTGATATGGCCCAACTGTCTCATTGTAACATTGGTGTCATCTACACTTTTCACAGTAACTTCCTCACATACTCCACCTCTGTCACTGTAACACTGTGATATTCCCTAAACTTTCACTATAAAATTCTATAATATGCCTCACGTATCTACTCAGATATGCTCCATCTCTCTTACTGGTATATCAAACAGCTCTCTTCAACATTCTGGTGTGCTCTATGTCATTTTATGATGTGGCCCGCAGCCTCACTACAGTGAATTCTGATATGTTCCACACCATCAGTAAAACATTCTTGGATTTGTGTCTCACACTTTTAATTATAAGACTCAATAATTATTATCGCTGGCTGAAATTTAAAGGCTGTTTGTTGTGTCTTGCTTAAATAGAAAACACTTACTAGGTCAGGCAGCATCTGTAAAGATAGAAACAGAATTTAACAGAGCTTTTTTCAACATTTAGCTCAGTTTTCTTCTCTACAGATACTGTCCAGCCTGGTAAGTGTTTTCCAGCATTTCTCTTTGATTACTGACAATGCTTTGCATAAAAATTATTTTGCAGTTGTTAACCCAGAGCAATTCAAACTTCTTGGAATGCAACATGTCAGTTAGGCATACGTACCTATAAAGCGAAAGCATTTTATTCAGACGCTCCCTAAGTCCTCCTGCATTGCAAGATGTCAACACATGGTTGCAGTATGTGGGAATGAGAGAGAGAAGGCTCTTTCAATGCTGAAACAGTCACTTTATTGCAGAATTCTGGTGTGTTACTTTTAATAATTTTAAATTAATGTAAGAACATGAAAAGGGAGCCAGGAGCCATGTTGGAAGGGGAGCCCTCATTCCTTCCACCATTTCCAGATTCTAAGAGCCTCCGTCAAAACTATTTGCAATCAGCAACTGGAAATAACGAACTGCTCTTGGCATAGTTTTATGAGCTATGAGAAATTCCCATCAGAAGACTTTAATCCACAAGTTTCACATTTCACATCTGCTGGCCTCAGGCACTGGATTACATTCACTTGATAATAAATAGACATTAACTAAACATACAGTGTTACTTACAGACAGAAAATGGAATCTCAGCACATTGTCAATACCCAGTGCTTTTAGCTGGAGTATGACTGGAGCAAGGTTACTGCGCTGCATCTCTGGCACTGTGGATTCCGGCAGTTTCTCAAAGGTTTCCTCTAAAATAGCGCAGGGAGAGAACAAAAACTCAAGTAACCTTCAGAAGCCTGCATACCAAACTGCCCAAATTGCACAGTGAAACTTCAAAAAGCTAAATTAGAATTTTAAATTTCTAATCTGATCTTCAATGCTTGTTTCAAATATAGAGTGATTAAACAGGAATATCACAAGGTAAGCCACTAATGTCAGCAGCTGTATATACTTCTCATAAATCTGGGTTCAATTAAGTGATAGATAATCCTGCATTCAAACTGTTGCACACAAAAATCATGTTTCCAGGTAAATCTTTATTTTGTCACTGGGGTTCCTCTCATGCTTTAGATTGGCATAGTGTCAGTACACGAACCCATTCAGCATTCATTGAAATTCTTTCACATATTGACAAGGTGAAACCAGTTCAGAATAAACAGGTTATCACTTTTGTTGAAAAGGCAAGACTACAAAATCTTACAAAAATATTATCTCACTAATATTCAACAAGTCTTACCCGAAAGCAACAGCATTAAGATTCAATACAGTAAGCACTGGAGGATGGTCCTATAAATGTTATAGCCCTTTTACAGAAGATGCTCTCTGGCTGGGAGCAAGCCATCTCTCTTTGTGGAATCAGACCACAAGCAAGAATTACACTGAAAGAAAGATTGCTCATGTCTTCGTTGTTCTTTCATCTTTCAAATTGACACTCAAGATATTACTCTCAGCTTTGGGAGGCAATGGGGTTACTACAATGGTTTTCCCTAGGCCAGGGAGAAATCATTCAGTGTTTTATTCTCCTGATCACTATCCAATGATCCCTCCCTGTAAAAGAAGATGAGTGAGAGAATGTGGATGCATAGTAAAAGAAGATATTTTTATGACACATATTAAAAACAAGAAGTAGGTGGGTGCATGCACCGTTCAATGTAGTGCTCAGCTGCCACAGACCAGGAAGTCCTCAGGTCACTAACTGATCTGTGGTCAGTTCGTGGAGGAGGCTATTCAGCCCATCAGCTGCTTTTGTCAATCACCTCAAATCTGACTGTTGACCCTTCTGTTACTGGAAGCCGTGTCTCTTTACGTACTCTGTCAAAGCATTTGGAACATCTCCATCGTATGTTTACCACGCTGATCTCAGGCGAGCTGTTGGCATGGTAACCATGCCTAGTAATCCAATGGAGGGGAAGTAAATCAGCAAAGATTTCTCCTCCCACTTGTTGTCCAATAGCATTTGGAAAATGGAGGTTGAGCTGTGACCCACTTCTTGTTGAGTAGCCTGCCAGCCATCACTGTCTAGACTTGCATTTGAAAGACAGGCATTAAGTTAAAGAATTGGGAGCACTCAGTGCTGCGCCGATGCAACCCAGCAAGAGCCATTATTGTGACAAGGAGGAGTGAATGTTGAGTAAGGAAGAAAAACAGATATGCAAATGTTATTGCTGTCTTTATGAAGCATCCTCAGAAAGCTCCAGCTACTGAAGAACAATCCATCAGTTTGGCATCACTAGTCCAAGCTACTGGCGATATTGTCAGATTTCACTAATTACAATTTTCCAGCATGGTGAAATCTTGTACTGAAGACTGGCTAGATTTTCAATTCATGCTCAGATTATGAGCTCAGCTTTTATTTATGGAATTTTCTTAAAATATGAAGTATGGTCAGAGTAAAGATTTAAATGATCTTCTTTTGCTATCCCATTCATGATCATTACATTTAAACTATCACAGAGGTTACCACAGTAAATAAAGTAAATTGTTCACTATACAGAATTAAGTACCCATCGCACTCAACCTCCACAATCTAATTTCTCAATCCTTCTAACCATAGGCCAAATCCATGCTGAGATATCATGCCAGTTTTGCCCAGTTTAAATATCAGACTTGATGCACAATCAAAAACAGAAAATATCAGTGGGATACCTTACCACGGAGGCAGTACGGTAAAGCCAAATACAATTGCCACTCATTATCTGTACACATCACCTCCCCACCAACAGGACCATTTGCTTCTCTCCAGAATGTCACCCGCGTTCTCTCCATACAGCTCATTTGGAGCTGAAACCCTCACAGTGCTTTTATTACTTCCAGACACAACTATTCCAATTCCGCTAGCTCCTCTAGTCCCACAATCCTCAAAGAGCTCTATAATCCTCAGATTTTGGCATCCTGTTTACCACTAATTTCTTTCATCTTGATGTTAGCAGCTGGGCTTTCAGCTTTGTAGACCTCACGTTCCTACCTCCCTTCTCTGCTCTAAGAAGGTTTCAGAAAAACCCAGCTTTTTGATCAAGCTGTTGGTTATAATGTTCTATCATCTCTTTATGAGGCTCAATGTCAAATTCTATCTGACAATCGTCCAGTAAAACGTCTCCGAAGGCACTATATAAATGCTAGCTATATTAGTCCTGGCCTGCAAGGCTCAATTTCACAGATGAGCCTCAGAATTGCTTAAAACAAACACTACCTACACATACTTTCTCACCTGTGCATAGTCTGAAGCACTTTCCCGAGCGATTTCGGCCTGCTCGCCCTGCTCGCTGAGCTGCAGATGCCTGGGAGACTGGAGTTACAACGAGAGATTCGATACCTGTTCTGGGATTGTAGGCTCTCAGCTTCACAAAGCCACAGTCGATGACAAAAACAATCCCATTAATAGTGATTGAGGTTTCTGCAATGTTTGTGGCTACCACTATCTGTGGAGAAAAACAAAGCAACATACAATCAGTGCCGTACATTTATAGAGCTTTAGAATAAGATACATGATGAAGTTATACAAGATCCTAAGGGGCTTTGACAGGAATGATGTGGAAAGGATGTTTCTTCTTAATGGAAAATCTAGAACTGGTTGTTTAAAAATCGGGGTCACCCTGCTAAAACAAAGATGAGGCAAAAATATTCTCTCAGATGATCAAAAGTCTTTGGAAATCTCTTCGCAGAAAGGTAGTGGAAGTAGAAGGTTTAGGGCAGGAAGGTTGGTACTCAGATAATGCAGATTTAAGGGAACCGTCAAAAGCATCAGAAAGGAGTTGAGAATGTTTTTATGCAGAAAACTGCTGAAATCTGAGACACACAACATGAAAGGTGGGGGGAGCAGCTCAATTGTTAACTTTCATAAAGAAATTGTTGGAGAAAGTGTGATGGGAGCAGGGCAGTTAGATAACACATTCAAAGCAGCTATACAGACATGGGAGGATGAATGACCTCTTTCTGCAATGTACAATTATGATTTTAAACTGGCTTTCCTCATTGTTCCTGGTTTTAAAGATTCAAGGGACAGCACCATATTCTGGTAGGACATTACTTATAAATTGTATGGCTTTTAAATAATTCTGATAGTTACCTAATCTGCCTGTTAAGTGTGCAACTTAAACCAGTGGAATGGTGGCACAGTGAGGAAATGCATTATAGAGTATTGTGTACTATGAGTGTGTGTTGAACTTTTGGGGGCTAATAATCACTTGGTTTGTTGCATTAAAAAATGTAAATTATCTTTTTTATGTAGATTGGTGAGCTTTCCATTAATTATTCCCTTCAGCATTCTACTCTCCTGCCTTCCCAAGTGCCACCAACACCTCACTGGTGGGACCTTATTCATAAATTGTATGACTGTTAAATAATTCTGACAGTCACTTAATTTGCCTGTCAAGTGTCAAACTTAAACCAGTGGGGTGGTGGTACAGTGCTCTCACTTCAGGGTTCAAGCCCCACTTCAGGCTTTGAGTACGTACGTAATCTGATAATTTAGTGCAGGTCTCTGGGAATGCTGCATGGTCAGAGATAGCATTTTTCTGATGAGATGTTAGAACTGACTTTACCTACTTGTTCATGAAACATCCCATGCCCTTATCAAAGGGAGCAGGAAAATTCTCAAAAATTGATCTAATAGTTATTCCTCAACCAACACTACCGAGACAGACTAACTAATTTATAATATTGTTATCTTGTTGCTTTGTGGGTCATTATTGCGTGAAAATTGGTTGTTGCATTTCGAAATATCACAACAGCACAGAAAATGCTATTGGCTCCATGTAGAACAGTCTGCAGATCGATCTGGTCAGTTCTTCTCACCTATGCTGTTCTTGTAACATTGCAGGTCTATTTCCCTCAAGTGCCCATGCAATTTCCTTTTGAAATCAACATTCATCTCATTTCCACCACTTTCATGGGTAGTGTGTTCCAGGTCATTCATACTCCCTACATAAAAAAAATCCTTCCTCACATTCTCCTTACATCACTTAAATCAGTGTCCCTTTGTCCTTGCACCAACACCTAATTGAAAAAGCTTTTTATTTTTATCCACTTTATCCACCCTGTCATAATTTTCTACATCTATCAAACCTTTCCTTGATTCACTGTGTAACAACAGTAAGGTAGGAATTATTAGGCACTAAACCACCTAAGGATATAAAATATTGAATATGAATGTAATTTCTTTCTTTTTCTAAAAGTGTTGCCTCCTTTGCAGGATAGAGATCACTGGCTATCTTTTAGTACCTCAGCCATTCTTCATATATTACCCTGGTCAGAGTGTATACAGATTATTTGACCAAAATGTCACTACCAAGTTATTTGTCCTTTGCTGATATCCACCGTCTTACACAGCAACAAGGAAGCCTGGCTGACTTTGCATTGCTTGCTCAGAGGCTAATGTGCTCAACTCTCAGTCGCCGCAGGACAGATTTTGGCACAGCAAACGTATTGGAGTGACTAGGAGCTGCAAGCCATTTCAAACAAGAAATCCGTATGTGCAATCTCACCTTCCTGCAGTTAGGGGACATTCTTTCAAAGACTTTCATCTGTTCGCCAGGAGGCAGCCCTGCATACATTGGGAGAACACGGAGGTGCTTTTTCATCCCGCTGCGAGAAAGAGCACGGGCCTGCTCTATCACCATGGAAACTACCATCTCCACTTCCTCCTGTAGAAAGAAAAAATGACTGAGGAGGAATTTTAATGAAATTATTAGCGCTACCATGTTAAAATCCACCATGTTAAAAAATTTCAGTCATTGTAAAATAGTGGCTATTTTGTTTTCTCCTGCTCAATCTGCACCACCAGTTATTTTCTCATTGAATCAATAAAAAATAAACATCAGACACCAATAGCTAAATTTCCCTCTAAAGTTATATTTTTGAGTTGGCTATTGAAAGTTATATTAATTCTTGTCTTGGTTCTCAACACATTCAGAATAAACAAGCCAACAAGTGCATTAACATATTATTTACACATCTGTTTAAATCAGTGTTCAAATGGTGCACAAAGGGAATTAAAGCCATATGGTCCTAAGCATATGCATCCATTGTGTCATATTTTACCACTGAGATGCCTGTGCTAATGATCTATAAATGAAAAGAATGTGATTCAAGATAAATAAGTGTGCTATAGTAATGAAAAATAGAGATTCCCCAATAAAAACACTTCTCTACATGACTAAAGCAGCTGTTATTTGCTTTTATAAACCGCATATTAAAATTGATGTTTATATCCATACAGTCCTACAACATTCCCCTCAGTTAAAGGAAAAAACTCATTTTATTAATTTATTTATTTCTATCCACATATTATTCACTTATATATTGGGATGCTGCTTAATGGGAGTCCAAGTTCATAACCTCACATGTAAAACTAGGTGTGGAGCATTACCAAAACATTGTTCCCTTGCTGAATATTGTCCTGTCCTCAGAAAACATCCATAATCTTCACATGTTGACTACTGGGAACTGGATATTCAATGAGACTTTTCCACTCCCTAGTCCAAGTAGTGGTGACTATAATTCCCTATTACAATCCTAAGTGAACTTAGCAGGGATTGAGTGTCTCAGACAAGGTTGGTGGTGGGGGGGAGCACATGACCAGAAAGAATCTGCAGCATTATCAACTCCTGACTGCTGTGTAACATCTATTATCTCAGGTACTTGTGTGTAGACATGAAGCAAAGGAAGTTGGGATTCGGCCACAATGACCCCACTTTCAAACTGAATACTAAAGCTCACTGCTTCAGTCCACGCATGAAGAATAGCCTTTAATTTGAGGGAGCAAAGACGTGAGAGAATCTATGAAGCAATTCCTGAATATGGTGAAAATGGGGGAGAAAGTCATACATGGTACATTATCAATAACTTGTGGTGTTCCAGTCAAAGATAATGTAGATTTTTTTAAAAATTCTAATCCAAATATTTTACTGCATCAAATCCAGGAACTGAGCTGTTACACAAATCATTAATTTTATCAAAAAGATTTGTTGACACAATGCCTGCAGTTCCTATATTAATTAGATCCAGGAAACAAGTCGGTTACTAATTGCTGTAACCCAGGCAAGTTAATGAGAGAGGATCACCTAGAAGAAGTATTCTTTAGTTAAAGCCATTACAGATACGACATTACGAAAAAATATTCTGCCAGTTATGATTTTAATTCACAGAGCTTCTTTCCTTTTTAAGGCTTTTGCCACTAGTTCCATTCTTCCCATCAATGGAGACCTCGAGGCAGCAAACATCATACGGTTGCCTAGTAACAAACAATACTGTCAGCAACCTTTCCCCTATCAGCCTTTGCAACTGAAAATCAATGGGCTTTGCAGACTCTGGTTTCTTTGAGCAATTGAATTTGTGATCACGCACCAGATATTGTAAAGAGGCAGACTAACTACAGCATCTCTCTCTTTACCTGGTGTTTACAATACATCAGTGCAAGTTACTGTTAGGAACCAGCTCCCTAATGGATCAGTGAAGTCAACTAGTAGCTAAGACATACAGAACTGATTTGATGATAGTGTTGTTAGCAATAGTGTTGTTAGGTGCTACAATGCAGTCTACTTGATTGGCACCCTGTTCACCATCTTAAACTTCCACTCCCTATACCATCAGTGCACTGCAACTGCAATGTGCACTGTCTACAGGATGTACTGTAGCACCTAGTCAACACCTCTTCAACCCCAAATCCAAACTTATGATCTTCTTGATAACAGATGGATGAGCACAGTACATGCATGGGCATAACACCACCTTCAAGTTACGGACCATCCCCACTAGACAGATCATTTTTGTTGCTTCATCATCATCAGGTCAAATTCCTGGAGCTCCATACTTAAACTTGACTGTGGAAATCACCAACCCCATCTGGGCTGCTGTATTCAAGAATAACTTCTCAAGAGAGACTTGGTATGGACACCATATACCATTTTTGCCTGTGATATTCATACGTTGTGAATGAATATCTAAACCTAGGAGATGGCCAGATTTCCTGCTGTTTGTCACTGTCAGTGCCCCAACAGAAAGTACCAGTAACCAACAGACAGCAGGTTTGGATTTAGCTGCAATAGTCAAGAGCTTGCTCTCTCACACACAAACATCAAAAATGGTTACTTGATCAAAACTTTGAAGGGCAATCACATGACAGTGTCCAGCAATGACGTCTTTTGAAGAGGTAAATAGGGGAGGACACTGGCCAAAAATGTTGCAAGTTTAGAGAGTTGGTGTGCCGAGGTGGTTAGTACAGTGCCTCAGTAAACTTTTATTACAAGGTTGGCATTCCTGCAGATACCACAAAACCCAAGATCCTTCTTCAACCTCATTAATACCCACGCTCCAACCAATTGACAAGCCAGAAAAAAGATTATATGGACAGAGAAAAAGAAATTACCTGGCCAGTGAGAAAAGCTAGGATATCACCATCAGCCTCATTCTGGTGGATTTTCGTGACTGTGTCCACTGTAGCTTTCACATAATCAGGGACTGGACTGAGGACACAAAAGAAAAAAATAAAAATTAGAACATGTCAGTTAAGATTTGAAGAGCTTTGCATGGAACTTGAGTATTGAGTGGAAAAAACTCTAATTGTGTCTGTGATAGTCCCAACAATCTCCCCATGCACCTTTTGTACATCCCCATCCATATCAAAATCCTGATCTTACCTATCCCCTGGAAAGAAACAGGGAGATTAACATGGGGAATGAGTTACCAGCGATTGGTCTGCAGTTATCTCCTACTGGTTGACAAAAAAGGATACTTGTTGGACATTTATGTAAAATTAGAGAAATGTGACATAATCCAAGGAAAATACATTTTTCAATACGGTCAAAAACACTGAAGTAACACAATAGCAATGGAGAGGGGAGGAAAATAAGTATAAATGAAAGGTGAAAAGAACTTGCATTTATATAACAACTTTGATGATCATTGGATGTTCCAAATCGCTTCCACTTCCAAAGCCAGTGAAGTAGTGAGTACTTACAAGAAACAAGTTTATAACAATTCTGCATAACAAGGTCCCACAAACAGAGATGATTCAGGTGACGAGATAAGATATTTGGTGGAGCTGATTCAGGAATAAAGATCAATTAGGATCTCAACAGAACTTTCTTGAAAAGTGGCATAGGATTGTTCACCTCTCCCAAATCAGACTGGACGTTTTCCAGGTCTTGCTGCACATCAACGCAGAGTGCTTTTTCATTTGAGGTATCAAGACTGGTGCTGAATCTTGTATCATTATCAGCAATCATCCAGATTTCTGACCTTATGATGGAGGGAAGATTTTGGTGAAATAGCTGAAGATGGTTGAGCCTCAGATACTTTCCAGAGGAACTCCTGCAGAGATGTCCTAGGACCACCTCACTGATGTCTGCTCAAAAGCAGTGTCATTTTCCCCATTGAATCAGATTATTCTATCTATAGTGGCTTGCAAAAATGTAGGATAGGGGACAGGGGGGCACGTATGTGGTCTGTGGCGTCCTTTGTCTTGCCTCAGTGGCCCAGGGGCAAAGGCATTTGAGAACACATAAAGGTGGATAAATCCTGGGCCCTGATCAGGTGTACCCTAGAACTCTTTGGGAAGTTAGGAAAGTCATTGCTGGGCCCTTTACCGAGATATTTGTATCTGGTGACACTGTTTAAGAAAGGTACTAAGGAAAAGCCAGGGAACTATAGACCTGCGAGCCTGTCATTGGTAGTGGGCAAGTTGTTGGAGGCAATCCTCAGGGGCAGGATTTACATTTATTTGAAAAGGCAAGGACCGATTAGGGATAGTCAACATGACCTTGTGTGTGGCAAATCATGTCTCACTAACTTGACTGAGTTTTTTGAAGAAGTAACAAGGAGGATTGATGAGGGCAGAGCAGTGGACGTGATCTACGTAGATTTCAGTAAGGGATTCGACAAGGTTCCTCATGGCAGACTGGTTAGCAAAGTTAAATCACATGGAAAACAAGGGAGAATTAGCCATTTGGATACAGAACTGGCTCGAAGGTAGAAAACAAAGGGTGATGGTGGACCGTTGCTTTTCAGACTGAGGGCCTGTGACCAGTGGAGTGCCACAAAGATCCGTGTTGGGTCCACTGCAATTTGTCATTTATGTAAATGATTTGGATGTGAACACAGGAGGTACGGTTGGTCAGTTTGCAGATGACACCAAAATTGGAGGTGTAGTAGACAGTGAAGAAGGTTACCTCAGAGTACAACAGGATCATGACCAATAGGCCGAGGTATGGCAGATGGAGTTTAATTTAGATAAATGTGAGGTGCTGCGTTTTGGAAAGGCAAATCAGGGCAGGACTTATACACTAAATGGGCAGGTCCTGGGGAGTGTTGCTGAACAAAGAGACCTTAGAGTGCAGGTTCATAGCTTCTTACAAGTAGAGTCGCAAGTAGATAGAACAGTGAAGGAGGCGTTTGGTATGCTTGCCTTTACTGGTCATCGCATTAAGTATAGGAGCTGGGAGGTCACTCTACAGCTGTACACGACATTGGTTAGGTCACTTTTGGAATACTATGTGCAATTCTGGTCTCCCTGCCACAGGAAGAATGTTGTGAAACTTGAAAGGGTTCAGAAAAGATTTACAAGGATGTTGCCAGGGTTGGAGGGGTTGAGCTGCAGCGAGAGGCTGAATGGGCTGGGGCTATCTTCCCCAGAGCATTAGAGGCTGAGGGGTGACCTTATAGACATTTATAAAATTATAAGGGTAGGGATAGGGTGAATAGCCAAGATCTTTTCCCCACGGTGAGAAAGTCCAAAACTAGAGGGCATTGATTTAAGGTGGGAGGGAAAAGATTTAAAGGGACCTAAGGGGTAACATTTTCATGCAGAGGGTGGTGTGTTTATGGAATGAATTGCCAGAGAAAATGGCTGGTACAATTAAGGCATCTGGATGGGTATATGAATAGGAAGGGTTTAGAGGGAAATGTGCCAAGTGCTGGCAAACAGGACTAGATTTATTTGGGATATCTGGTTGGCATGGACGAGTTGGACCAAAAGGTATATGCTGTGCAGCTCTATGACTCTATAACCACTGCTATGAGAACAACCCAAGTGGTTAAACACTCTTGCTCTTTTCCCAAAGCCCTGGACTATACCTTAAAGTATAAAATATGTCAACTGGAAATGTCCGTCCCTCCACAGTCAGGATGGCACATGTGTCCTTACTAGGGTCGGTGGTCTCATTCATATTGAAAAAGCTCCGAAATTTCTGCAAAAAAGAAATTTTTAAAATATACAGACCATCAGTCTTCTAAGCATGAACACCAGCAATGTAGTTTTATCAGAAGACTTTGATTAGAGTTAAAACAACTGAGGGATCAAATTTTCAACACTTGTGGGCTGAAATCAAAACAGAGAAAGCAGTGAGGAACCCCCTCAAAATGAAAGAAATGGTGGAGTGGTTCACATCACTGACATTCTGAACAGATTTTTAAAAGATGTCAAGAAGCTTTGATCCAAGAATCCAGGGTTATTCCAAAAATCAATTGCAATGGCTCACTCACTGCCCCAGCTGAAACCTGGGGAGTGTTGCCGAACAAAGAGGGGGGCAGGTTCATAGTTCCTGGAAAGCGGAGTCGCTGATAGACAGGATAGTGAAGAAGGTGGTGTCTGGTACACTTGCCATTATTGGTCAGTGCATCAGAATTGGGAGGTCATGTTGTGCCTGTACAGGACATTGGTTAGGCCATCTTTGGAATACTGTGTTCAATTCGGGTCTCCCCTGCTAAAGGAAAGATGTTGTGAAACTTGAAAGGATTCAGAAAAGATTTGAAAGGATGTTGCCAGGGTTGGAGGGCTTGAGCTATAGGGAGAGGTTGAATAGGCTGGGGCTATTTTCCCTGGACCGGAGGTTGAGGGGGGACATTATAGAATTTTATAAAATCATGAGGGGCATGGATAGGGTGAATAGTCAAGTCTTTTCCCCACGGTAGGTGACTCCAAAACTAGAAGGCATAGGTTTAAGGTGAGGGGGGTAAGTTTTAGAAGGGGCCTAAGGGGTAACTTTTTCATGCAAAGTGTGGTGTGTGTATGGAATGAACTGCCAAAGGAGGTGGTGGAGGCTGGTACAATTACAACATTTAAAAGGCATCTGGAAGTGTATATGAATAGGAAGGGTTTAGAGGGATATGGGCCAAGTGCTGGTAAATGGAACTAGATTAATTTTGGATTTCTTGTCCGTAAGGACCGAACAGCCTGTTTCTGTGCTGTACATCTCTATGACTCTAGCTATACCTCTCTGTGACTCTATCTCTGGCAATGAATGCCTACATTAAATATATGGGAAGGCTTTTTCCTTCTACTCATAAGAGCAGCAACCTTCCTTCACTGTTACGGAACATTGTCACAAGATCCTTTGATCGCAAATCTTAAAGAGGCATACCTGATAAAGCAGACAGAAAAGACATAGAGCCAGTGGTATCAAAAGCAGCTTGTTTACCAAGTGTTACACTGTTTCACAATGTTTCCCTGGATTCTCTGCTGTAATATCAGTGGAAGACCACTAAACTTCAGACAAACGGCTTTAAACCAGAGCTTCCATGGAAATTATGGGAGACAATCAAAGGAAGCCCCACATGTTCCACAGAACTTCAGCCTCAAAATATGTATGCTCCTGTAGGAGACTTGCTGATTGTAGGATATTACTGGAGGACAATCTATAATTGCCCCATTTTTACATTATAGTACACACAAATGTGTTATGGCTCTTCCAATCATATTAAGAAGTAAACTTTCTATCTGTAAGTGTGACTCTGGTTTAAGATTTGGCTGTGAACTGAAATGAAAGTTCATATTTAAAAAGCATGTTGAACAAAGCAAAGCACTCTAAGGCACTTTACAGGAGCACTGTCAAACAACATCTGACACTTAGCCACACAAGAAGATATATGAATAAATAATCAAAAACTTAGTAACAGGGTATGTTCTCAAGGTTAGAGTGAGAGGTTGACACAGACTAAGGTCTAGGGAGGAAATTCCAGAACTTAGGGTTAAATTAGTTGAAAGTGCAGCTACTAATTGTGGAGCACAGAAAATTGTGGAAAAGTAAGAGGTCAAAATAGGAGGAGCACCAGATCTCACAGAGTTCTAGGGATGAAGGAGGTTACAGAGGTAGGGAGGGGAAAGATATGCCTACTCTGGGTTCATACACGTATAGTAACGTGAGGGCATACCTCTGCATCTAGTGTAGCGGAGGACACAATAAGTCGAAGATCACCTCTCTTCTTCTGTATCTACAGAGATAGGGAAAAATACATGATGAACAATAACTTTGGCAACAAAATTAATGCAACTTTTTCCCCAAGATCTTTTGCACTAACTCTGTTCTTATTTACTTTTCCTCTCTTTCTCATCAACTTTCTTTCTCTTGTATTTGAAACCTGGTGACTCTTTACTGAGAAACAAAAGAAAGAAGGACTTGCAGTTACATATCCCCTTTCACGCCTTCAAAATGTCTCATAGCCCTTTTACCCGCTAATGAAGAAATTCTGAAATGTAATCACTGCTCACTGTACGAAACACAATAATCAATTTGCTCACAGAAAGCACCCACAGCACAGATAATAGTTTGTTTCAGTGATGCTGATTAAGGAGTAAATTTGGGCACCTTCGAAATAGTGCCGTGAGATCTTTTACAACTTCCTCACAGGGCAGAAAAGGTCTCAGTGTAACATCATTTCCAAAAGACCACACTTCCAACAAAGTAGCACACTTTCAGAACTGCACTGAAGAATCAGTTTGGATTGTGCTCATGTCGGGAATTAACTTGAATGCACAAATGATTTGATTCAATGTCCATAGTGCTATCATTGAGTTAAGGCTCACCCTCTATACTTCCACAAATGTCAACATATTATCCAAGTGACTCATTACTCAACTATGAGATAGTAAGAACTGCAGATGCCAGAGTCAGAGTCAATACAGTGTGGAGCTGGAGGAACACAGCAAATCAGGCAGCATCAGAGAAGCAGGGGAGTCAATGTTTCAGGTCGAGGCACTTCATTAGTCCTTCATCACCATTACTCAAGTATGATCTTTGACATTAGATGTTTAATGGTCTTAGACTCAAAGAATAACATAATTGAGATGATCCTTTTCTGATCTTAGATATAGGCAAAACAATTCCACTATTGATCACAGGATGATGATCAATAGTGAGAATTGGGGTTGATCTTCCAGTATCTCATTTAGGTTTAATAACAATAACCAGCATTCGTGTAGCACCATTAATATAGAGACCAAATTTCACGATGCTTCAGGCACCGATCGAAAGAAGCAGATGTCAGAAGACAACCAAAACTTAAATAAGTTGCTTATGAGGATCTTGTAAGAGAAGAGAGAGGAGGGAAAGGCATCAGGACATAAGGAGGCAAGACACACCTGTCAACAGGTATCAAAGGAAGGAGAGCTGTAAGGGGAACAGGGCCAAGAAATGGAGAGTTTTGGAGGCAGAGGTTGTTTATGGGGCTGAGGACACAGAGGGCAGGGAAATATAGGGATATAATCAAAAGGATGCCAAATTGAATACACAGGGTGTTAGGAGCTAATGTAGATGTTATGAATGAGGGGAGATCGAGGAGTGGTAGTGGGGTAATGGGGCAATAGTGGGGCAATTATAGATTGTCCTCCAGTAATATCCTACAATCAGCAAGTCTCCTACAGGAGCATACATATTTTGAGGCTGAAGTTCTGTGGAACATGTGGGGCTTCCTTTGATTGTCTCCCATAATTTCCATGGAAGCTCTGATTTAAAGCCGTTTGTCTGAAGTTTAGTGGTCTTCCACTGATATTACAGCAGAGAATCCAGGGAAACATTGTGAAACAGTGTAACACTCGATAAACAAGCTGCTTTTGATACCACTGGCTCTATTTCTTTTCTGTCTGCTTTATCAGGTATGCCTCTTTAAGATTTGCGATCAAAGGATCTTGTGACAATGTTCCGTAACAGTGAAGGAAGGTTGCTGCTCTTATGAGTAGGAGGAGGTGGAGAACAGAATACTATTGTTAGATAAGTTAAAAAGGAGGAATACTAATTAGGAGGGAATTCAAAGATTTTGAATGAATGACATTAAAGGAACAGCAATAGGTTTCCAAGTCAGGGTGGTAAGTGGCTTGGAGAGGAACTTGCAAGTGGAGATGTTCCCATGTAATCTGCTGCCCTTGTCCTTCTAGATATTAGTGGCTGTGGATTTGAAAAGTGCTGTCTAAGAACGTTTGGCTAATTTCTGCAGTGTATCTTGTAGATAGCACACACTGCTGCTACTGATTTGCATCAGTTTGTGGATGCAATGCAAATCAAACAGGATGCTTTGTTCTGGATGGTGTCAAGCTCCTGGAGTGTTGTTGGAGCTGCACCCATCCAGGCAAGTGGGGAGTATTCCATCACACTCCTGACTTGTACCTTGTAGATGGTGGACTGGCTTCGGGGAATCAGAAGGTGAGTTATTTGCAGCGGGATTCATATACTCTGACCTGTTCTTGTAGGCACTGTATTTATATCGCTGGTACTCCTTGATGCCACTCGGTCAACTGCGGCCTTTATGTCAAGACTAGTCACTTTCACCTCATCTCTGGAGTTCAGCTCTTTTGTCCATGTTTGGACCAAGGCTGTAATGAGGCCAGGAGCTCAGTGGCCCTGGCAGAATGCAAACAGGCCGTCACTGAGCAGGTGCTGCTTGATAGCACTGTTGATGACACATTCCCTCATTTTACTGATGATCGAGAATAGACTTTTGGGGCAATAATCAGCTGGGTTGGATTTGTCCTGCTTTTTGTGTGCATGACATACCTGGGCAATTTTCTACAATGTCAGGTAAATACCAATGTTATGGCTGTACTGGAACAGCTTGGCGAGGGGTAAAAGCAGGTCCTGGAGGACAAATCCTCATTATTATTGCTGGAATGTTGATGGGTCCCACAGCCTTTGCAGTATTCAGTGCCTCCAACCATTTTTTGATATCATGTGGAGTGAGTCAAATTGACTCAAGACTGACATTTGTGATGATGGGGACCCCTGCTGGAGGCCGAGATGGATCATCCACTCAGTACTTTTGGCTGAAGATTGCTGTGAATGCTCTAGCCTTATCTTTTGCTTTGATGTGCTGTGTTCCCCCGTTATTGAGGATGGGGATATTTGTACAGCCTCCTTTGCCAGTGAGTTAATTAGGTGTGGCAGGACTGCAGAACTGAAATCTGCCCTGTTGCATGTGGAATCATTTAAATCTGTCTATCACTTGCTGCTTATGCTGTTTGGCACATGAGCAGTCCAGTTTTGTGTAGCTTCACCAGGTTGATACCTCATTTTTAGCTCTGCCTGGTGGTGCTGCTTCTGCTGCTCCTGGATTCTTCATTGAACAAGTTGTCATGGAGGATGAGCAGGGAAAAAATGTACATAATCACAGTAAACGTAATTTGTCACTTTGCTTGTCACTTTTCAATGCAAAGGCAAGGGTAAAACATCTGTTTAGAGACAGAGTGTTTAAAGAGAACAATCCATTCACAATATCAGCTAGCATGGGGTTAGTTGAATGCTCAGCAGTTTAATGGGAACAGAGTTATGGGAATGGTCATCATTGAGTACAAGATTTAAGAGCCAAGGCGATCATGATCTTCCAAACTGAACCATTCCAGATCATACTAACAGCAGATGATTGTGTTGTTGGAGTGGTAGTTAAGCCACCCTGAATGCTGGCTATTTGCTTCCTTCAACACTGTCAACAACACTACCCTTCTTCCATTAATCCTCTGGTCGTGATTGGACACTCTAACACTTCTCCACAGATAACAAACACAAGGAACTCCATGACCTATTATTTGAAGAGTTCTCTTCTTCTTCCAGTCTTATTCTGAATATTTTAGATCTATTCTTCAACCATATTAGGATCCTTCTTAAGCACCACATTTTGAACCTATGATGATGTTTTCCAATGCTAAAAGCTTCATATCCATAATTCAGCACTGACCTGTCGTAACATCTTTGTACATGAACTCTATTTTCAAGGTTCAAGCTGATATTTCTTAGAATGGTTTTATAAAAATAAATTTTGGGTTTCAGTACCGCTGTTGACATTGGATGTTAGAGAACAATGGATAAGATATGCCCAAAGAGGGCAAATTAAGATAGGAAGGAAGCTAGGATTAAGATTATCAATAAGCATTACAAATATAATTTTATTGCCCAGTTACAAAGTTGCACTAACTTCTATGGAACAGAGGTATTCCAGCTTGTGTACTATATAATCTAAATGACTCAAATGTAAAACCATCCTAAAATAAACAACCTCATATCTCTGATAGGGTCTAGGCCCGAAACGTCAGCCTTTCTGCTCCTATGATGCTGCTTAACCTGCTGTGTTCATCCAGCTCTGCACCTTGTTACCTCATATCTCTAATTGTCTCAGAATGAGCAGGTCTCTAAACACTTTCACAATCTAAGTAAAGCCAGAAGTAGAATAAAAATATTGTAAATCTGAGAAAAAGGTCAACACGCAAATCCCATTTCTGTTTCGATGCTAATGGATTTGTTGTGTAATTTCAGTTCTTAAATCAAAAAATGTCTATGGGTAAGGTTTTTCTTCTACAGTCTCAGATCTTATCTTCCAAGAATAAAACATGCTGTCTTTTTAACTTCATCAAACATAAGCAAAAGCATTACACATTGCTGACCTTTCTTAATAAGCCAATAGCTATGTCTGTGTACAAGGTTCTCTCATGGGCTTCATCCAACAGGAGAACACTGAAATATGAGAAAACACAAGAATCCATTACAAAAAGTCAATCACGTGAACCAATCAAAACTCAGTGTTCCCTCCCCACAAGAATAGAGTTGACTATCACAATTCAAAATGTATTATCACCCAATTAAAAATGTTTCATTGTAGCAAAATGTATTGCAAATCAAAAGAATAAGTGAACCTTTTGCAGTTTTCTCCTTAAGTATGCCAAGCTATAAAAATAATACTTTTGTAGAGCTTGTTTGACAGTAAACACAATGGGTGATCATTTAACGGAACATCTCAACTGCTGCCTGGAGAATGGCAGAGACAACAAGGTGCAGGGCTGGATGAACACAGCAGGCCAAGCAGCATCATAGGAGCAGAGAGGCTGACGTTTCGGGCCTAGACCCTTCATCAGAAAAGGGGGAGGGGAAGGGGGTTTTGAAATAAACAGGGAGAGAGTGGGAGGCGGATAGAAGAGGGATAGAGGAGAGGATAG